TATACACTCTCTCTGCGTCCTCCTTATCATGCTGTTCTTCTTCAACTTACTTCTTAACATCAATTTTATTCTTTTCTTAGATTACCTGTTTTTATTCCTTCCTTACCTTTTACAGTCAGTAATTATGAGGGAGAAAGAAATGCCATCGTCAAGCAGCGAACCCATAAGTTTGGTACGCGTAGCATATATATAAGAGCATTTTTAATTTTTTTTTCAATATTGCCTTTTCCAAACATAATGTTATTATATATGGTTGAATTTGTCATAAAATAAGCTTTATTTTGGTTGGACAATTGATTTTAACAATTTGAAAAAAGAGAAGGAGGGGGGGTATTTTATACACAATTTTACATTTTTTAAAAATCTAAATATAGCATAATAAAGTACTTTTAAAACCATAAAACTTTTGTCTAAAACATTTTTTCATATCTTTAATAGTTTCGATAATATTCGCTTAGAAAGACAAAAATCAACTTTGTTCAAGGGGTTGTTTCCATCCTTAAAACCGTTTTTGGGCACCAACGAAAAATTGTTTTGTTATTAGGTATATCTGCTCTACAATTATGCAGAGTTTCAGATTTTTTTGAATTTCCGCGTTGCCGAATGTCCCTTGTAAGTAGCGCTTTACATCATACGAAGATACTAATAATTGGGTCGATTCGTGGATAGCCTCAAAAGATGAAGAGTTTTTCCGACGTGGTATCCGAATGCTGCCAGAAAGATGGGAAAAAGTAGTGGCTAGTAATGGACAATACTTTGAATAAAACGTAATGTACCGTTCTTTCACAATAAATTCCTAATTTTTGACAGAAAACGGCGGAAACTTATTTGTACTCCTAATAATAAATACAGTTTTTAAAAGTTTCTAAACATAATTTTCCTAAAAGTTCTTAAAAGTTCCTAAAAATAAAATATTATAAAAAATAAATGTTTTGCGAAGTCGTTTATTCTTTGTACCTTTTTTTATTATTTTTTTGGGGGTCACGCAGGGGAAATCTTCCTGGATACCCCTGACCCCTTGGGGGGTCGGGGGTTATGCCAGGCTCTTACCGGCTAAAACCGTTGCGAGGTGCCTACCGTTCGGACCGTGGTGGGGGAAGTCAGGGGAAGTACGCCTGTATTTCCTCCCCGACAGTCGTTTATTCTTTGTACTTTATATAATAAACATTAAATTAAAAAATGCCGTAAACAAAATAAAATAAGTTAGTTCGTAGCAAACGAGAAATAAAAAAATTGCATCTTTCTTTCCTAAGAATTTGGTTTCAGTCTTCAATTCTCTTTGTATATGTACTAATAATTCTTTTATGAGATCATTCCGTTCTTTTTGTAATTTAATGTTTTCATCTAATGATTCTTTTAAACGTTTAATTGCTTCTATTCTTTGTTCTTCAATTTCTAATTGCTTTTTCCTCATATTATATAAACTTTTACTTTTATTTTTATTAGTGTTCAAAGTAGATTTATGTGTTGAAGCTCTTGATGAAGATCGTGATAGTGTAGGTGATTCTGATAGCAATAAATTAATATCATCACTTACTGATATTGTTTCAGAAGTATTGTCTGATTCTTCCGTAATATATGTATGTGATATATTAGAAGCTAGTGTTTGTAGTGCTTGTCTGTTTTGTGTATAATCTTTATCTGCTATTGATTCTGCCTGGCTTAAAGTAGAAGTAGAAGTTCCTGGAATATTTATACGTGACTCTAATGTAGCTCCATGGTTAATACGATCTTTAGCAAAAAGGTCTTCAAAAATATCATAATACTCCCAACTGATACGTCCTCGTCCTGTCGTACTTTTCTTATTGTTTTCTTTTATTATCTTATACGATCTTTTCATATTTCTCATTTTTTTATCAAGTATATCTACCATATTTTCATCTGTGTATCCATTCACTTTTAAAACTTGTGCAATTCCCAACCACAATAATTTCTTTTTTATTTTTGGATTTCGAAATTGTTCTTTTCTCTCTTTATATGATTCAAGAAATAGTTTGGTCGATTTATTATTCCACTTAAAATCATCCTGTACTGTTTCTAAAAATAATAATTATTACATAATATTTATTTATAACAAAATTTAAAGAATTTTTAACTTTATAGACATATTATAATGTAACTAAATTTTAACTCACATTTTCTCCATTTTCTTTATTAGGTGTATGTGTCAATCATATCCCAGGCACAAAATCTTTTAAGGACATCCCAGAGACGTCTGAGGACGAAGAAACATCCCGAGGTCATCCTCAGGACCTACTCAGGACATCTCCCGTAGTACGATTCTCTAACTCGTTATTGGAGTTAACGATAGTTTCGTTATCGTTGCGCAGTTTTTGTATATCGTAGAAAAGCTGTGCAACAATAACGAAACTCCAATAACGTTAGAGTTAGAGAATCGCACCACTAGACATCTGTGCTGTTAGAGATATATACAACAAAGAAAAAGTGATGGCGAAGAAGAGGAAAGGCAAAGAGAGAGAAAAGTATATGTGTGTTACTTACCTTCATTTTCATTATTAACAGATACTGATACTGACACATTTTTCGCCAGATATTCACCGACATAAACACGATTTGAGTATACGAGGGTAGTTTGATAAGTCAGTGACTTTTTTAATAAAAGATATTTTTTTCGGCAAATAAGCGTTTTATTTCTCAACGTAGTCTCCTTTTAGCTCGATACATTTAGTCCACCGTTTTTCCAATTTTTTTATTCCTTCCAAATAATAGGTTTTCTCAAGGCCCTCAAAATAGGCGTTTGTTTCAGTGATGACCTCTTCATTCGACCCAAATCTCTTACCGCCCAGCCATTTCTTCAGGTTTGGAAACAGGAAATAGTCGCAGGGGGCTAAATCTGGTGAATATGCTGCATGGGGTAGCAGTTCGTAGCCCAATTTATGGATTTTTGCCATGGTGACTACACACGTGTGCACCCATGCATTGTCCTGATGGAACAGCACTTTTTTCTTCGCCAAATGCGGTCGTTTTTGCTTCAAATCAATATCGAATCTGTCCAAAAGCTCTGAATAATATTCACCGGTGATCGTTTTACCCTTTTCAAGGTAATCGATGTGAATGATACCGCGTGCATCCCAAAAAACTGTGGCCATGACCTTGTTGGCCGACAGACCCACCTTGGCCTTCTTTGGTGCACGTTCACCCGAAGAAACCCACTGTCTTGATTGTTCCTTGGTCTCTGGTGTGGTGTGATGGATCCATGTTTCGTCTACGGTAACGAAACGGCGCAAAAACTCGTTCGGATTACGGCTGAACATCGCCAAACACTCCTTTGAAATGGTCACACGGTTGCGCTTATGGTTGAGTGTGAGCAATCGCGGCACCCATCGCGCGGATAGCTTTTTCATGTCCAAATATTCATGTAAAATGTGATGTACCCGCTCAGTTGAGATGCTACAGCCTCAGCCACTTCACGCACTTTCATTCTCCGATCGTCCAATATCATTCCATAGATTTTATCGACGATTTCTGGCGTGACGACCTCTTTTGGGCGACCTGAACGTTCGGCGTCACTTGTGCTGGTACGACCATAACGGAACTCAGTAAACCACTTCTTAACCATTGAAATTGATGGTGCAGAGTCCCCATAGTATTTATCAAGCTTTGCCTTGGTTTCGGTGATGGTTTTTTTACGCAAAAAATAATGCTTAATCAGCACACGAAATTCACTTTTTTCCATTTTCGTTAAAATTCACGAGGTTGTCTGCTTTCAATGGCTGTCAAACACTAACTAAATGGCGCAGCTTGCCTAAACTTGTACAGTAGTCTATTAATAGATGGCAGTTGACGGGAGCAGTGCTGCATTTAAAGTTACTGCGCGGAAAATTCAAAAAGTCACTGACTTATCAAACTGCCCTCATATTAATATAATCATTATATTAATACTTTTATTGCGAATGAATATTTACCATTTCTCAATCTTGTATGAACTTCGGGTTCCATAATGTAATAATTTATGTTATTATATTCATATTCTGCTTCGTACATTTTAATATCGCAAAGTTAAGATTAAGCGATACTTGAATGGCGATATACGAAACTCGACTATATTTTAACTTATTGCACCAGTGCAGAAGTACAGCTAAAAAGAAAAAATCAAGTGCATATATCAACACGTTGCGCTCACTGAGCGTATTTGGAAACCGCTCAGAAAAATGGCGTCCGCTTACTGAACATGTTGAGGATGCGCTCATTGATCAAGTGCGTTCAGCGAACATTTTGCCAACAGTTGCACAACCGTTGTGTTTTCTGAACGCAGCTATTGTCTGTGACTGGAACATTATTGGCTGCATTCAGCAGACTCAACAGTTGGACAACATTACTAGATTTTCTACTGAATCTCGCTCCTGATTGGTAAATACTTCTGGGTCTATGAAGAATCTAAAAGAATGCTCCAATCACAATAATCACTAAGCGCTCACTGATCACTTTGTTCTGCTGAACGCAGCCATTCTTTTAGATTCTTCATAGACCCAGAAGTATTTGCCAATCAGGAGCGAGAATCACTAGGCCTGTTCGTTTTGTCTGCACTGCTGAACTGGTGCAACAAGTTGAAGTGAGAAAACCCAAGTCTGTCTCACTTTAACTTAATACACCAGTTTAGCAGTGTAGACAAAACGACAGGCTTACTAAGGCCCAGTTCCACAAATTGCTTTAAACGGAGTTTAAATGCCCGTTTTTACCAATACCAATATAATGCCCGTTTTTACCAACCTTGGTTAAACTAATCGGCTAGTTATTCTAACGGAATTGACCAATCGCATTTGTCGTTAATTAGAATTGACAAACATGATTGGTTAATTCCGATGAAATAACTAGCCGGTTAAATCAACCGCAATTGGTAGAAACGAGTATAAGTGCTCACTGATCATTTTGTTCTTCTGAACGCAGCCATTAGTGCATTTCCACCTATCTTCGGAAATGTACCAATCATATCGCAGTATTTTCATCCAGCACGAAAACAAGCGCCATGTGCCGCTGGCTTTAGTCTATAGGGTAATGTTTGCGCTCTTTCTTAATCTAGGACTTCAGATATTATGAGATATCTACATATATATTGATTATTATTGTTTAAATAATTGCAAACTGTATCCATGGCGGACGTTTTAGATATTGATAACGCCGAAGAATTCGAAGTTGATGATGAAGGCGATCGTAAGTCTCGTTATTATTCAAGTTCTGTCGAATCGGATAAATTTAAAACTAGATAACCTTATTTTCTGTATTATAAAGTTTAACTTAACATCCTCAATTTGTTAGTCTTATTTAATACTATATTAATATATTATATATTATAATATTAATATATTAAACACAATTAAACTAATAAATATTTAATTGAATATGTTCTTTTAGAGGGTATTGCTCGTCTTAAGGAAAAAGCAAAGAGAAGAAAGGGTAGAGGCCATGGTGCAGAATTGATATCGACAAAAGATGATGTGGGTCATTATGAATCTATGAATATAGTTGAAGAAGATGATAATGAACCTGGCCCTCAAAGATGTGAGCTTGTGTTACTTGTAGATATGTTAATTGATTTTCATGCACATATATAATTATATTCTCTTTTCAAGTATTTATATATAATCAACTTGTTTTGATTTGTTCCTTATATTTATAGCTGTAGAAGGATGGATTTTGTTTATAAATTCGGTACATGAAGAAGCACAAGAGGATGATATTCAGGACAAATTCTCTGAGTTTGGTCAGATAAAAAATTTGCATTTAAATTTGGACAGAAGAACAGGATTTTTAAAAGGTTATGCATTAGTGGAGTATGAAACTTTTAAAGAAGCCCAAGCTGCAAAAGAAGCCTTGAATGGGACAGAAATTTTAGGACAAGCTATCTCTGTTGACTGGTGTTTTGTAAAAGGACCAAAGAAGTAAGAAATATAGCATTATAGCTATTTTTGTTATTTTAACTTATTTTTCTTTATTTATTTTTTACTATATTTTATTGTTTACTATTTATTATACTTTATTGTTTTATTGATTAACATATATACATGTATACTTGTATATATTGTGATGTTTATATCAATATTTAATATATCCATTTCTATGTAGGATCAGAAAAAGGAGTCACAGAAGGAGATAAGAATCAGATAAAATATATGCATATAATTGTATAAATTATATGTAACTATTTCTATAAAACAAACCATTTTATATTTTATAAATTTTATGTAAACATTTAAAGTAATCGAAGGGAATTATTTCTAATTGAAAGAAATCATTTTCAACAGGATTAAATATCATGTTTTGTTATTAAAATAAAGGTTTCATATAGGTAATAATCGGTAATAAAAGATGAATCATGTAGTTACTATGTATGGTATTGTATGGTACTACTAAAAAAATATTAATTATTTATGTGTGTGTGCATGTGCGTACGTGTGTATGCGTATGTGTAAGCGTGTAAATATTTGTCTGATTCATATCATTTTTCATTTTCTTTACTATCTATTTAGTAATATTTTTCTCTTTAACTTTTGTTCCTTATTTTACGATTTGGAATGAATTAACTTTTATTCTATAATGATTGAAGCTCTTGTATATTTTCAATCCTAAGTTTTTGTAACATTTCAAATACACATTTAAATTTCTTTATAATTTATCTCTTTATCATTTATTTCTTTATCTAGAAATGATAAAAGATGCCATTTTAATAGATATATTCAGAGAAACATAAAATGTTAATTTTATAATAAAATAGTAATATTCTTCAATTCTAATTATACAATACATAATTTGGCATATGATTTATTGTGCATAGACGTGTTGCAAAATATGTTGCCAGTTGCTGCTTGTAGTGCTTGCATACATTTAGGTGTCTGAAGGTTAGAGTGTCCAGTGTAAAGAAATAAAATATCGAATCGCAAAAACATCGGATTCTGTAAATTAATAATGCCACTGTGCGTTGTGAAACAGTGCAAAATTCGCACTCCGTGTCGTCTAGTATTAGGACAAATAAAAGTACAAAGAAATTCCGATATACCATGGTATCATATTATTATATATAATATAAGAAAGAATATTATTATTATAAAAACTATTTACTTATATAATAACTATATTCTGTCATTAATGTGAAATATTAATAATATAGTAAAGTAACACGAATAATTATTTTATAGATTTCCAAAAAATAAAAATGAAAAAAGCAATGGTGCGATATATTGGGACTAACTGCCGAGTTAGTCCCAGTTAGAGCAAGAATATGTTCAACACATTTTAATAAAGATGCATTTAATATTTCAATTGAAAAGATTTAAACCAAACATACTATCAAGTAGTATATACTATATCAAGTACCTAATAAACAATCTATTAGCAGTTTGACAACAAATTAACGGCAGATTCGAGCAGAATCTGTCGACAGATAGATATTTGCATTCCAAATCTGCTTTTATATCTGCTGGTAAAGTTTGCTGATAGACTATGATTGGTGGTAGAATGCGCGTAGTATCTGTAGTATTTTCATTTAAAAACTTGGAACAAGAGAGTCTGCTTGATATCTGTCATTCTATCATCATCTTCTGTTATCAGATTCTGTAATATTTTTATCAGCAAGTTGCTAGCAAAATTTGCTGCAGATACTGTGCAAAATCTGCTTTTGTATATTTGGCTATCTAGATATAATATTACGAAATGTTACTTATAATTGGTATACGTGATTTATAATGCTGTTATTATAAGGTATTAATTTTTTTTTAATGAGTTACTGACAGCGTTATTTTTATAAAGAAAATTTTTCCCCTGGTTTACATATTATATATAGCTGGTAAGTTTATGTAGTTAGATTTATGTTAGTTTATAAATAAAATTGTTAAAACAATATTGTGTTATGAAAATCATTTATGATGAATCTCTTAATAAAACAGGTGTATATACAGTATAATTCCCATCAAACATAATGTAACATGCAACATACTTATTATTTGTAATTTTCTACTTACTAATGTAACTGTTATATAATACACTTATTATATACATAACATTTTACATGGGTTAATATAAATTAGCAATATTGTGACATTCTGAATTAAGCTTTATGAGACAGTTTTGATTATTTGATATCAAAACTATGAACATACAGGGTGTCTCATTTTAAGCATCCACCCCAAATATCTCTTATTTTTGATTATAGAGAAAAATGGTTCAGATACGTTTTGTATGGTTTCGAGGGGGCCATAAGATGGTACCATTGATTTGATCTTGAAGAGTCATTTGAAGGTCACGTGAAGGTTACCCCAATTTTTTTAAATGGCACCCCCTATTTTTTATTACATATTCTTGTAGCTGGCCTCGAGAGCTTCCCAAAACACTATAACTAATGTTTTTTGGTGAAGTACTTTTCGAGTTATAAAGCTTCAAATTTACAAAATTTTGATAAAACAAAATATTTCGTAAAACATTCACTTTCCGATAATCTTATCTTACATGATCCAACCAGTCAAGGCAAGATCCGAGCATGATCCAACCAGTCAAGGCAAGATCCGAGCATGATCCAACCAGTCAAGGCAAGATCCGAGCATGATCCAACCAGTCAAGGCAAGATCCGAGCATGATCCAGCCAGTCAAGACAAGATCCTGTATTGCCTGATAATTAATGAACTGTAACAATTGTGAAAGTGCAATTGCCAATTATTTTAATGAAACAAATATCAAGAGGCTTGTTTAAAATTTCTTACTTGGGCAACTGTCGGTATTTTGGCGAAGTCTCAGACAGACGCATATTATTATTCATTAACTTTTTTTTTTATAAGACAGGAAGTTTTGGTCTTTTGGCGCCTTTTTTCTTTATAATTATGGCTGCTTATCCACCAAATGAAATTGTGGACATGATTCGCATTTTGGGTGAGGCCAGGAATAATTACTCGGCAGCAGAAAGGCTTTATGCTGAAAGATTTCCAGACAGACGCCATCCTGATAGGAAAGTAATAAAAAGACTGCGACAGAGCTGAACAGGGTTTTCTTAGAAGAAACCGGCGGAAATCGGGCCCTGATGAAGTCACATCATTGACTGTTATAGGTGCCGTTGTTTTGAATCCTCAAATCTCTACGAGACAAATTGAGAGGCAATACGGTATATCTAAATCAACAGCCAATCATGTGCTCAAGCTCAACAAGTTTCACCCATATCACATTCATCTAACTCAGCAATTGGAAGAGAGGGACTACCAACGCCGTGTACGTTTTTGTAACTGGGCTCGAGATCAAATCTAACAAAATCCCCGGTTCATTGCTGATACGCTTTTTTCTGATGAAGCCACGTTTTGTAATAGAGCAGGCGTTAATAGACATAACTGCCATTATTATTCAGATGCTAATCCACATTGGCAGAGAAGCCAAGAGTTCCAAGGGCAGTGGTCCATTAACGTTTGGGCAGGCATCCTGGGAGATGTTATTGTTGGTCCATATTTTTTTTAAGAAAATCTCAATGCGGCAATCTATCTAAGATTTCTTCAAGATGGCCTGCCCAACCTTTTGAGATATGTCGACAATGATTTACTCAGACGAATGTGGTTTCAACAAGATGGAGCACCGGCTCATAGATCTCGAGCTGTTACACAATATTTAAACAATAGATTCCCGAATAGGTGGATTGGTATGGGCAGCCGAGTTCAAGAATGGCTCCCAAGATCACCCGACTTGGCACCCCTAGATTTTTATTTCTGGGGCTACATTAGAGATATAGATTATTCGCAAAAGCCTTTCAACCGTTGAAAATATGGAAAACCGGATCAGACAGGCTTGCAGAAATATTAATGTAGGTGTTCTTGAAAAACTTAGCGACGACTTTCACTATAGACTAGAGCTATGCATACAAGTAAATGGCCAAGTTTTTGAACACTTTAAGTAATTGTACACAAAAGAAGATCTTGCCTTGACTGGTTGGATTATGCTCGGATCTTGCCTTTACTGGCTGGATCATGCTCGGATCTTGCCTTGACTGGCTGGATCATGCTCGGATCTTGCCTTGACTGGCTGGATCACGCTCGGATCTTGCCTTGACTGGCTGGATCATGCTCGGATCTTGCCTTGACTGGCTGGATCATGCTCGGATCTTGCCTTGACTGGCTGGATCATGCTCGGATCTTGCCTTGACTGGTTGGGTCATGCTCGGATCTTGCCTTGACTGGTTGGATCATGTAAGATAAGACTATCGGAAAGTGAATGTCTTACGAAATATTTTGTATTTTTATCAAAATTTTGTAAATTTGGACCTCTATAACTCAAAAAGTACTTCACCAAGAAACATTTGATTAAAGTGTTTTGGAAAGCTCTCGAGGCCAGCTACAAGAATATGTAATAAAAAATAGGGAGTACCATCTAAAAAATTGAGGTAACCTTCACTTGACCTTCAAATGACTCTTCAAGGTCAAATCAATGGTACCATCTTATGGCCCCCTCGAAACCATACAAAACGTATCTGAACCATTTTTCTCTAAAATAAAAAATAAGAGATATTTGGGGTGGACACTTAAAATGGGACACCCTGTATATTGTCTGTTTAAGAATAATTATTACGATTTTACCGATTTTGCTGTTATTTCAGTAACATCCTCTGATAAGGTTGACACGAGAAACGAGCTAGAACATCAACAGCAAGTGGTAGTGCAATTGGGAAAGCTCTTAGGAAAATATGGTAAATGTGAAGTCACCGATAAAGCATTGCTTTATATCAGGTGTAGTAAAAAGAAATCCATTATTTTTCCAATAGATGGCTTTAGTTATCTGTATCTCGCGTTGTATAAGTCCGATCGGGTTCCACTAGATGGCGTTAGAAAGATGAGATTTCGTACTAAAAAAACCTTTGTGACAGTTTTGTGATTAGTTGACTCAGTTTTGTTTGAGCGCGCGTCAAAAATGGACACTAGCAAAGAGAAAATACGCTATATTTTACAGTTTTTCTTCGATAAAGACGAAAACGCAAGCCAGGCGGCTGAAAATGTGAATAGTGTTTATGGTCCTGATACTGTAACAGCCAATCACGCGCAATTTTGGTTTCGTCGATTCCGTTCCGGTAATTTCGATGTCAAAGATGCACCACGCACTGGAAGACCAATTGTCCAAAATATCGATAAAATCATGGACATTGTCGAGTCTGACCGTCATGTAAGCACTGTTTCGATTGCCCAAGAGCTAAAGATTGCACAAAAAACCGTTTGGAACCATTTGAATAAGGCTGGATACAAAAAGAAGCTCGATGTATGGGTGCCATACGAGTTAACGCAGAAAAACCTCATGGACCGAATGTCCATCTGCGAATCGCTGCTGAATCGCAACAAAATCGACCCATTTCTGAAGCGGTTGGTCACTGCTGATGAAAAGTGGATCACTTACGACAACGTCAAGCGAAAACGGTCGTGGTCGAATCGCGGTGAGCCGGCGGAAACGGTGGCCAAGCCAGGATTGACGGCCAGGAAGGTTTTGCTGTGTGTTTGGTGGGATTGGCAGGGAATTATCTACTATGAGCTGCTCCCCTACGGCAAAACTCTTAACTCGGAACTGTACTGTCAACAATTGGACCGTCTGAAGGAAGCAATCGCCCAGAAGCGGCCAGCTTTGGCCAATAGGAGAGGAATTGTGTTCCATCAGGACAACGCCAGGCCACACACATCGATAGTGACTCGCCAGAAGCTCCGGGAGCTTGGTTGGGAGGTTCTTATGCATCCACCTTATAGTCCGGACCTGGCACCAAGTGATTACCATCTGTTCCTGTCCATGGCGAACAATTTTGCTGGTGCAAAATTCGCTTCAAGAGAGGCTTGTGAAAATCGACTGTCTCAATTTTTTGCCAATAGGGACGAGGGCTTCTATGAGAGAGGCATAATGAAATTACCTTCAAAATGGCAACAAGTTATCGAACAAAACGGCGCATATTTGACCAAAATCGGATCATTCTAACTATGGTAATTAAAGCCTTCAATTTCATGCAAAAATAATGGATTTCTTTTTACTACACCTGATACTTGCATTGGCCTTCGCGTTCTTCCTCACCTGCGTGTTTCACATTTCATAAAAGAGACTGTTCTGAAAGCCCTTTGTATGTGATATTAACGAAATGGACTGATCATTTACGGTGATATCGCGACTGTAACATATTGCGCAGGAATTCTCACGATAAATGACATAGAAATGTATGTACTGTTTAAGAGGAGAAATCGGGTGAGTTTGTTACAAATATTTTAATGACTTTACGCGTATGTGGGTAAATTGTTCGTTAATCTCTGAAGGACGTTTTCATTCGGTCACCAAATTTTATTAATCCCTTCCGTGGCACGGATGCACTGGTGCGTCCAGCCAAAACCATGCCGTAAATGGCACGGACGCACCGGTGCGTCCAGATCATTTTCGTGTTGTATTGAATTAAGTGTAATAACTATTGTTGTAGAATTTTTATCCAGTATTTTTTGGGTCGCTGATTACGAATTTCAACTTAGTTTTTATAATTTATTAATAAAAAAAAGTTATAATCAAATTTAAATGTCGGAAAATTGTAAATTTTTTTTCACACACGAGATATATGAGAGTGAGAAAGGGTGAGAGGGAGAAACTGAGGAGAGACCGCGGCGTCCGATGGAGAGATCGGCGTCATCGATGGATTTCGCGTGACGTTCAGCGTCGTTTGACCGCAGCACCTAAAGGAATCCGAGTGTTCGGTAGTACCAAAAAACAGAATGTACGACAAAGAGCGAGCAGCGAACGAGTCAGTTCTCAGCGAGCAGCAAGAGCGTTAAGAGTGATTTTATACCCATACAGAAAATAATATCTATTAGATATTCATTTGATATCCACGATGGATATTCAGGATATCCATGAATATCTACTGAATATTTATTGTACGTTGCATAGATATCTAAATGTCCGCAATTCGATATCTAACAGATATCCATAAGATATCCAAGGAAACATCTATTAGATATCTTTATCATATCTAGTGGATATTTATATGGATATTTAGTAAATATTTAATAGATGTCCAGTGGATATTTATAAAAATATCTATTAAATATCCATTAGATATTTTCGACGGATATTAAGAATATCCATGAATATCTACTAAATATTTGAATATCCATAGATATTGAGAATATCTACAAATATCTACTGAATATCCATTGTACATTGCATAGATATCTAAATGTCCGCAATTCGATATTTAACAGATATCCAAAGGATATCTAAGGAAATATCTATTAGATATCCTTATCATATCTAGTGAATATTTATATGGATATTTAATAAGTATTTAATAGACGTGCAGTAGATATTTATAAAAATATCTATGAAATATCCATTAGATATTCTCGACAGATATTGAGAATATCCATGAATATCTACTAAATACGTATTTGAATATCCATGGATATTGAGAATATCCATGAATATCTACTATTTATTGGACATATAATTACATAAATATCTAAATGTCCACAATTCGATATATAATAGATATTCAAAGAATATTTGAGCTCATATCTATAGATATTTTCCATACAGCACAGATAATTGCAGCAACATTGCTGCAACATTGCAACATTGCACATTGTAGAGACATTGCAGAAAAATATTTTGCATTATTATATCTGCAATTTTGTAGCAACATTTCAAATCACACAGTGCTAAAATAAAATAATATGTTAGTATGTGAGCGGTGTATATATTACGAAATTACGTTCCGATAATTATTGTCATTAAGGCTCCTGGGTAGTGCAGCCATATTGGATTATGACGTCAGAAGCGAGGAAATACATGTCAAAAATTTCAGCGATTTACGGCTAAATAAAGAAATATATCATTAAAATGACACTTGCAATCTGTTCTATATACTTGCAAAATGCTCCGGACGGTCCTCTTATGCCGAAATAAGTATTATATAACCGTTAAATAAATGTTATAAAATCGACTGATTTTGACAGGAAATCAGTCGATTTTGTAGCATTTATTTTGCGGTTATATAATACTTATTTCGGCAAAAGAGGACCGTGCGGAGCATTTTGCAAGTATATAGAGCAGATTGCAAGCGTCATTTTAATAATATATTTCTTTATTTGGCTGTAAATCGCAAGAATTTTTGACATGCATTTCCTCGCTTCTAACGTCATAATCCAATATGGCTGCAGTGACTACCCAAAAGCCTTAATGAAAATTATTGGTTATTGTATTATGCGTGACGCATAAGCAAATAAATGGTCCTTTCCACAATGCAAACAAAGAACTCTGATTGGTTATATTCACTTATCCATCTTGCATAATGCGTTATGCAAAAGTGTGTGCTTCCCGTTTATCGTGCGGCAATCATTTTCGTGCGGCAATCATGCTCTGTAGAAGACCATAGCATAGCACCGTTGCAGTAACATTGTAGCAATGTTGTTTTGCAACATTGCAAAAAACATTGCTAAATGTAGCTGCAGCTTGCAACAAAAGTAAGATGTCCGCTTGCAGCAATATTGCAATGAAACATTGCAATAATATTGTGGTATAACATTGCAACAACACTTGCAATATAATTTGTATGCAATAATGCTTTATATACATACACACACACACACGCGCGCGCACACACGTGCACACACACGTGCACATACACGTGCACACACACACACACACGCGCGCGCGCGCGCGCGCGCGCACACACACACACACGCACGCACGCACGCACGCACGCACGCACGCACGCACGCACGCACGCACGCACGCACGCACGCACACACGCATACACAGGGATCAGATTCCTGCCACGTCAACGACGTTCACGTCGTTGACCCCGGGTAACGTTAAGAGCAGGCTAGCCAGTGATGAATTGTGAGCACACAACCATCATTCAGTTACACGCGTGACCATCTACTCAAATACACACACACACACACACAAAAGATATTTGACAGTATCCTCATCACAGATGTTTAACGTCTTAAAGACATCCCTTAGACTTGTAATCATAATTGAGACTTATTTCCAAAACTGTCTTGAGTATATCCTCAGATGTTCTGTAACCAATAAAATAGTCCGCATTTCATCGGATAAATTTAAGATGATCTTAGAAATAAATGTTAATTATGAGTCTTACAATTCCTGCTACCTGGAAAAAATTACTTTAAAAAGATGAATTATAATTATACAAATATTGATTTTATTTGTTCATTATTATTATTATTTGTTTATTATTATTGCTATCTTATTTGATTATAATATATATATATATAACGTAGTTGTAGTAATACAAAAATACAGTTGCAACTATATCTATAATTAATATAAAAACATAGACTCTCAATTAACATTATAACATAAAATATTTTTTATATTAAAGATTAATTAATCTGAACACTGAGAATTCTGTAGCTGCGAACTGTAGTTGAGAAATGTAGCTGACGACTTTACTGAAACAATGAGACAAATTACATTTCAGTTTTATGTATATACTATATTTCATATGCTTATGTTTTTTAAGAAATTAAAAGAAAAGTATGCATTTACTTAATTTTAAGAGAAATGCAGTTCCTGCAAATATAAAACTAACCTTTGTTGAACTTTGCCGTCGTTTTTCGTTTCCAGCTCTGTGTTTCGCGTGTCGGAACCAATCTTTGCATTTAATTTCAAAATTCTTTTCTGTAACATTAGGGAATGTCTTCCTGACAACTTCTGCAACAGTTTCAGTTAATGTTTAATTTTCTATTATTTATATTATATTCATATTATTAAATAATTCTTAATATTTTCGCGGTATCATAAAATTTGTTGTGCTAGAATAACAATATTAAATTTGTCAAAAAATGAAATTAATTACTAATATATTAATTGAATAACTATTTATGTAGAAGTTTCGTCACCCATGGGTATTTTAATATTCAAAAATTAATATCTCTCTTTATTATAAAATCTTTATACTTACTAAACATTAATTTCATTATTTCGAAATTATGAAGTTTCCGTTTTCCTTTACCTCCTACCCAACTGTACATACTAGCTACTTCATTCGTAAAAACATAAAGAAGCATCCTTTTTGATATTTCTTCATAGCTAGCTCCCACCAATCATTGCTAATATGTTAAACTGAAATATTTTCGTATTACTTGAGGAACATACATAAAAGGAATGTATATACAGGATGTCTGTACCAAAACTGATATATAGCTAGAATAAGTCGGGATTAATAATAGAAATGATGGTTTTTTTATCACCACGTGAAATTTTAAGATATTAACGACGAAAATTTTTTCGTGCGGTTAGTCTCCTATACTCATGTTACAGCGCGTACTATTTGTAGTATTTGTTCCATTACAGCGCGTGCGCTAATTAGCTAGTAGGCTGACTCAGTAGAAATTTTTCGCCGTTAATGTTTCAAAATTTAACGTGGTTGAAAAAAAGCACCAATTCTATTACTAACCCCGATTTATTTTAACTATATATTAGCTTTGGTACAAATGCTGTCAGATATTTTGTATGTTACTATATTTTACATAACTCACCATATGCTCTTTTATTCCTTCTCCGTTTGAAGTAAGAATGCGTTCTAGTGACTCGACTTCTTCTATAGTTTTCAGAGGGAAGGACAACTCACTTAATTCATCAGTTGGTGTAGAATTATGACGCTCTTGTGCCTCATTTGAGAAACATTTATTATTTATATGTTGATATTGTTCAGTTAGACAATTAATGTCAAATTTTATTTCTATCAACATTCTCTCAATACGTTGAAAATAATCTAGTGACATAAATATATGTAATATATAAGAAAATAAATTAATATATATTATAAAAATGCAATTTTTTAAATATTCCCTTTTAGATAGCATAAATTTCCAAAGGACATTTTAAAGATGTCTAAAGGACATTTTCCATCATATCTAAGAATACTAAGACTCTTTGGAGACTTATGCTGTCTGATGGCTTCTCAATTGAGACATTTTATCTAATTTTAATCTATTATTAAGTTATTTTCTTCTTACTTTTAATTGCAATGTATTCTTTATTTTTCAATTCCACATAATCTTCTCGCATGATGGCAGAACTTTCTGCAGGAATAATACGATTGCTGGCAATATCATTCATTATTGTTCGATTACATGTATCGATATCATCGTGTTCTGCTTGTTTTGCAAACATTGATTTATGAGAAGTCGAAGCATTTAGTGATGATCGATTATTTGACACACAGTGTTTACTATGTTCTTTTTGTACATGTTTGGTATCTGAAAAAGTCAACCACTCTGCTTTAATGTAGATCATATATAATAAAAAACAATATTAACTATTTCCGTTTTGATGAGACGTATCCCAAAAAGAATTTAAAGAACTGTATTTTGGAACGAATCAATTTATTTTAGTGATCTCTGTTATAGTATTTAGGAAGACAATTTTTTTAATTGGAACGTATGTCTGTTACAAAAAAAAGGAATAGTTCATATAAAAAAAAAATTTGTAATGTAGTATAAAAAGTACATTGCTTCTTCGATACTTTGTATATGATAAATATCTATTTAATTAAAAAGTTAAATGTACATACATCTAATATTAAGATACTATTTATTTATCGTTTGATCGCTAATAACAAACCTGAATTAGAATTGTAAAATTAAAAGCAGCGAATACAGTATAGCAGTCAATAAATATTTAAGTTTAGTAAATTTGAACCAATCGTTTCGAAAATTAATACGTATAACTTTTTGATTGCTGATAACAAATTTAAAATTCAAATTGCAAAATTTAAAATAGCGGATATATAACTATAAAATTTAGGATCAAAATTTAATAATTAGAAACAAATGGCAAATTAAATATTTTAAGATATTCTGAGATAATTAAGCATCCCAATTTTACCGGTATAATCCGAATTTTTCACTCGTCCTCGATTTTTTTTAATGCTATTCGGGACAATTCGCTCTGGATTCGATGGATTTATTCCGATTTTAAGAAATTTTTTTAAGGAGGGAGAGACTGATGAGAGAGAAAGGGAGAGATCGGTAAGAAATCAGAGAAAAGATTAAAATGGCGCACACGTTGCATATCTTTATGTTTTGTTCTAATATCTACAAATATTTAATGGTCTTATACTTGTACGCATATCTGAAAACACGTGTAATAAAATTAATTTTAATATTACTTACTCCTATAAACCTTAGGCGCTTTTGGATATGATGGTAAACGAGTTTGACAATTGTTTTCATGATCATCATCATCATCATCATCATCGTCAATATCATCATCGGAACTAATCACTTTCCTGGCTTTAATTTTTCTTTGTGCTTTGTCAGTATCCGTAATATCAGAATCTATCTCAGCCTTTTTTAGTTTATTGCGTGCTTCATTGTAAGACTCTAAACGTACAAGATATTTATGTCATAATAATTCTCAACCATTCTTTGCAAATAGAATATAATTATATCTTTATAAACATCTTCTTTAAATAAACAATAATGAATAAAAAAGGTTAACCTTCGTACAACAAGGTGCAAACTGTTATATTTCTCATAAGGTGGATTGAATGTACTAACAGAAACATTCTATTATCACAATTAGTTAAAAATATCTAAAAGTAAACTATATATCGCAAAATATATGAAGTATATAACAAGACCGTTATATGTTACGCTTCATCACATTCCAGAATTATTAGTACAGTCGAAATATGAGTTTAGTCGATTCCAAGTCAATCTTATTAGATGAGTCAAAGAATTCGCGTTACATTCACTTACCATATGTACCAAAGATTCGTTTAATTGGATATAATAACCAATTATCTTGAGGTGTTTGTCGTGTTCTAATCGCTGCATCTATATCTTTATCTGTTTTATAATTTGGATATAAACATTCATTATTTTCCTTTTGTATCCAGTTATCTGGTATCACTTGTAATCCATCTTCAAATTCTATCGAATTAAATTTATTTGTACAAAGAGACATCTTGTAGTTAATATCTTACATCTGAAAGATATATATATTTGCATAACATACTTACTAACAAGATGTATGAAGAACAAAATTATATTTTTTCTGTATGTAACAATGGTAAGAGTATAAATGCAGAATTGCAAAGGTCAAATTTCACATATTTCGTCGTAACAAACGTTATAGGCCAAACTGATAAACATCCATATTCGTTAGATTTATATATTCCCAACAAAGAGGAATTGCACGGTTCCGTATAGAAGTCACTCAAATTAAGGAATTCTCGACCAATAATACAAAGTTTATTAGAGGTCGTTGTAGCAATATTCTTTATTGCTACAATTGAGCCATTATTTAATCCACAACAGTTATTTGGTTTGTGAATAGATAAAGTAAAATCTGCTGTTATAAATATTGAATATTGAGGACTATTTATCCCGGGTAAAATAGGTCCTGCATTGTGTATTCCATATACACCTATTTTTCGACATTCTTCTTTGAATGGTAAACTATGTTTCAATTCTGTTAAACGATTGTGGATTTGTTGCAATGGACGTTCAGCTTTTCTAATAAACCGTTTTACTTTTCTTAAATAATTTTCATATTGAAAAGCGCTGAATGTGTCCAATGTTCCAAATTTTCTAACATCATCCACTAAATGAATTAACGCATGTACATTGTGAGAGATATGCTGCGGTCCATATAAGATTGTGAATGACCGTACAAAATGTTCTAGTAAGGATTCCGCATAAGAAACGAAAGAAAGCTGTGGAGAACATAGTAGCCGAATGGCCACGTGCAGCGTTAAAAAATTTCTATAAACATCTTTATTTATGTACTTCTTTAAAATAATTGGACCCGTATATAAAAGAAATTGTCTCAACTCAGTGGCTTTCCATAAACTTAAGAAATGTAATTCTCGTGGTTTACGAACAAATTCTATAGGTATTGATGTGCGCATTCCAATTAACAACCTCGAAATGTTGTGTACTACTTGTGTTGGCAATCGTACATTTAACGGCCCCGATAACAAAAAGTTCAACATTTTCTTTACTACACCAATGCAAACCAAATGCATATAATCCAACGGGATGTGACTAATTAATCCAAAATTTGGAATATTTATTAATATACTCTGTCCAATATGATGTTCTTTTTGTGATTGCTTAATAAAGTCGTTTGTCCGTTTAGGGCAATTTATATTTGGGAAATACATTCTGTGTAGAATGTATTCACCTTCAGTTGTACATTTCGCACAACTAAAGTAACCTGTATGCCCTTTTGTAGCTGTTACAAAAGACTTTGCAGGTGCATCAGCAATTAAAGAATGTATGGATATACATATATGCTTTCCTCCATAATCAAGTCCATCAGTTTACAACATTTTTTGCTTCATTCACAAAATCACGCAAAAAATCGTTACAGTCGTCTGGTTTTTTGGGACCAAAATAGCATCCAATAATAAAAATGGTACGAAAGTTGGGCGCTATCGAGCCTAAGATAAGCCACAATTGATTAGTAGAAGAGTTTGAGATTGGTAGTCCGTCTATACTAATTTGCACTTTAACGGTATCAACATTATCTGGATCATTTCTTAAAAATTCCATTATTCCTGATATTAAGCCATTATGAAAATACTCTCCTGGAGCAACTTTCCGTATGCTCGTACATCTTGCTGTTTTCAATAACGTTTTACAGTTTTTCGGTAAACAGCTGTCAAAGTTATATTTTCTTAAAATCTGTAATAATGCTGTAATTGCTGTTTGTGATATTTGAAATTGTACTGCCCAGTTTATTAACTCGCCCTTAATTAATTGAATAGAAGACAAATTCGTAAAATCATTATTTTTCTCGTTACAAATGGATGCGATTGGACATGAGTCCTTCAAAGTATTATTACTTTGCTTCAAAGTAAAATCACTGTTACAATAAAGATTATATGTAGTATTTTCATTGTAAATATCAGTGATATTGTCATGGTGTTGCGACAGTTCTTTCCTTGTTGTTACATTTATTGCTTGATCGAAGTTATGATCATTAGTGGCAGTAACATTTGATGTATTACTATCTACTGATAGCTCATTTATGGATTGCTCATCTATACTTTCTATAATTGCAATATTAAGTGCATTACGTTTCAATCGTCTGTAATGTCTTTCTGACATTTGCGATAATAATTTTCGTTTTGGCATGGTTGATATATATCCTAGAAATAATATAACATTTTCTTACTCTACGTTATATTGGTTATTTATCTCTACTTTTTATAAAAAAATTACATTTTCATGATAAATAATGAAGCAATATATACCGACATAATGCAGTTTCGTGATCTCTTCATCTCATTCAATTGCATGCATAGAATCACAAATTTTAAAACAAAAAATCGATAAATATGTTTTGAGTTTTAATACAAGTATACTTTTTAGTATCACCCATTTATTAACATTTCTATTTTTACACTAAAACATTTGCGGCTTTGTATTTAATCAAGAGAAAAAGGGAAAATACGAAACTATATTAAATCGATATACAAAATTGCTTTAAGAAAAAATTTATATGGAAAAATATCATATAATAAGAAAAAGTTATATAAGAAAATATATAAGAAAGTATATAAGAAAAAGTCAGTCTGTTTAAGAACAAACTATATAATTTGAAAATTATTGTTTTCTAGAATAACTATTTTATAAATTGTTCTAATTATTTGGTAAACAAAGTTAAATCATATGTCTTTGTTTATTTTAAAGAAACGGCAAAGATAAACATATGATTTAACTGTTTGCTTACCAAACATCTGGAATTTACTTTTAAAGATATTGATATTAGAAAAGCAAAATAATTCATAAAAATGTATTTCTTTTTAAATTCTATTTAAAAAGTTATATTTACTAGTTAAATAAAGTTAATTTAAGACAAATAGCTTTTAGCATTGTAATAGTACATGAAAAGAAATACATTCGTCTAAAACAGAGGTCAGCAAGCAAATACAACTTTTGATCAACTTTCAGAAGGAACTTTCTCTTTTTGATGTTCCTCTTATCTTCTCTCTGGACGAGCTACCTATAAGTCGCAGGAAAGGAGCTCAATCTTCGAATATCGTGCTATGAAGCCCATAAAAAAGAGAAAAATAAAAGAAAACCTCTGAATTATAGCATGATATATAGACGCTTATATAGACGATATATAGACGATATATCACGCTTTTGAATCTCGAACGATTTGTAGAACGTCGAACAAGACAAGAGGAATATCAGAAAGCGGAACAATGATGGTCATTTTGTAAACGAGACCGTAGCTGATAGCAAGGGAGAAGACATATAACAGACAAAAAATGGGGTATGAGCATCCTTTCTCTCTCCCTCCCTCCCTCCCTCACTCTCTCCTTCTCTCCCCTCCATCTCTCCCACCCTCTCTCTCGCTTCCTCCCTTTATCCCTCCCTATCCCCCCTCCCCCTCTCTCTCTCTCCCTCTCTCTCTCACTCTCTCTCTTCATTTACTACGGCCTCGTCGACAATGGCATCAAGTTTAGAAGTCTCTCGAAAATCAACTGAAAATTATATCGTTTACTAACCACTGATCTAAAACTCTCAATAATGAATACAAATACAAAATTTGAAGTAATAAAATATTGCATAAAATAAAAAAAGCAAAGACTTCAGAACTTAGAAAATTAAATAACTAAAATATATCATTAAATTATAAATCTGTAGGAAAACATTCATATATATTCTATTATATATATATATATATAACTATATATTGGGTGAGTGCAAAAGTTCGTGCGGAGTTTGTGAGTAAAAGTCACACAGTGATTAGGCAAACAAAAATCTTTATTCAATCAATGATATATTCTCCATCGTTTTCTATAATCTTTTCCCAACGTTCTGGCAGCATACGGATGCCTCGATCATAAAAACTGCGCGGTTTAGATTCGAAGAACGAAGAGACGCCGTTTTTTAAGGCCTCCAAAGAGTCCAAGTTTTTTCCATTTAAATAATTTTGTAATGACCGGAACAAGTGATAGTCAGATGGTGCGATATCAGGAGAATACGGTGGATGCGTTAAGACATCCCATTTCAGGCTCTTCAGTTTGCGCAGCGTCTTTTTCGAAACGTGTGGTCTGGCGTTGTCGTGATGAAAGACGACTCCCTTGCGATTTGACAAAATCGGACGTTTCTCTTTTACTTCTCGATTCAGATTGGTTAATTGGCGACAGTACTTGTCCGAATCAATCGTTTCGCCAGCGGGGAGAAGCTCGAAATAGATTATGCCCTTGCAATCCCACCAAACAGAGAGCATCACCTTCATCGGGTGCAAACTGGCCTTTGGCATTGCGTCACCATGCTCACCTGATTGTTTCCATGTCCGTTTGCGCTGAACATTGTTGTAGAGGACCCATTTCTCATCGCCCGTCACTATTCGATCCAAAAACGACTCGTTATTGAGCCGCCCGAGTAAAGAAACGGCTGCAGAAATTCGCTTGATTTTGTTCTTCTCGGTCAGCAAATAGGGCACCCATAGCTTCTCCCCGCTGGCGAAACGATTGACTCGGACAAGTACTGTCGCCAATTAACCAATCTGAATCGAGAAATAAAAGAGAAACGTCCGATTTTGTCAAATCGCAAGGGAGTCGTCTTTCATCACGACAACGCCAGACCACACGTTTCGAAAAAGACGCTGCGCAAACTGAAGAGCCTGAAATGGGATGTCTTAACGCATCCACCGTATTCTCCTGATATCGCACCATCTGACTATCACTTGTTCCGGTCATTGCAAAATTATTTAAATGGAAAAAACTTTGACTCTTTGGAGGCCTTAAAAAACGGCGTTTCTTCGTTCTTCGAATCTAAACCGCGCAGTTTTTATGATCGAGGCATCCGTATGCTGCCAGAACGTTGGAAAAAGATTATAGAAAACGATGGAGAATATATCATTGATTGAATAAAGATTTTTGTTTGCCTAATCACTGTGTGACTTTTACTCACAAACTCCGCACGAACTTTTGCACTCACCCAATATATAAAGATTTTACA